CCCAGACTCTAATCCCAACTTGAAATGTAGACGGGCGGCGGTGTTTGTTTTTTGATTCTATCATCGTCGCTTGTGCTTTGTGCATGTTATCCACTGCCTGCTGCATGAAACCTTCATATCGGTAAGCAAATCCCAGAGTGCCGGGAACAACCGTGGGCTGGTTCTCAGGTAGGAGGAAGTCTAGGGGCAGTCTAGGCTTGAAAGTTAATAGCAAACTGTTGGGACTAACCCCTGTTGCGCTGTGCACTGCGTTGTTCTACAGGCTGGCGACGAGAGCAAGCTTCTTATCCTAGTCTACCTGATTGGGCTTAATGTAATGCCTCAACAGGTGTTGTACAACGCGATTCATCTGCTCGGCCTGTCCGTTTGCCTCTGGGTGGTTCCCAGAGGTCATCTGCAGATGGGTCCCTTGTTCAGCAGCTGCAGCCTTCCACAAATCACTTGTGAAACATACATCCCTATCACTAACAATAGACTTCATCAGATCCAGTTTTCCTTAAACAGTCTGATCACGTACTCGGTTTTAGTTGTTTCTGGCATCGCAACTAACCTAGCGTACTTACTAAACCTATCCACAATCACAAAGACATATCTCATACCACTCTTGCTGTGATCAGCGTGTTCATGAAATCCATGGACAGACTTTCACCCAGCCTCTCTGGAATCGGAAGGGGCTTGAGCAGCCCAAGAGAAGCCTGTGTGCGTGGCTTGTCCCATTGACACACTTGACATTGTTGACAAGTCTCCACGTACAGCTTGGCGTCTTTCATCATGGTGGGCCACCGGAACTGCTGCAACAAGTTGGCTGCAGTCTTCTTGTAACCAAAATATCTAGTGGCATCGTGGCATTCTCCTAAAAATAAACTACGCAAAGACTCACTACTGGGAATTTCTGGCCTTCTCGAGGAACAGCAGGCCGTTGACCAACACAAACTCGTTAGAGGTGACCTTATTATTTGCCTCGAGTCTGCGTATGATCTCTTCCATGAACGGATTCTCGCGATAGGCTTCCACCAATGAGCGAGTAACATCTTCCACAAGCTCGAATTCAGTTATCAGCGCACCCAGGAAGTCTGGTCTATGTGACAACACATCAGCAGCCTTGTTGTACTCCCCTTTGATATACTTCGACTCAAAGTCATACTGTTATATCACTTCAATCCTGCGTTTCAAGACATCGGAGAGTATTGGTTGGGTCCTCATCCACCTCAGGGTCTGATGATCAATCCTGATGTAGAAGAATCGCCCAAGGAGGTAGTGCCTCCAATGGGTCAGTGGCTTGTAAATCGCGTAGAGTTATTTCTCATAAGTGGACTTAGCCAACTTCTGAGAGGGCATCGTTTTGGACATGTACTCAACGAGCCTCAACTTTTCCCTTCCTGCTACGCAAGCACGTCGCCAATGCCATATTGGTTGGCATCCGTAGTCATAATGAAAGGTTTGTCAGGATCAGGTAATTTGAAGACCTCATGGTGTGTCAGAGCATGCTACAAATGCTTAAAAGCAGCCTCACACGTGTCTGTCCACTCCCATGGGGTGTCAAGGAGTGTGAGATCCATCAAGGCGTGGCCACTGTGCTATAGTTCTTAACAAAATTGCGGTAGTAGCTTGTCATACCCAAGAAGGACCTCACCTCAGCAACGGACTGAGGATGCAGCCAATCACGAATGCTGGCCACCTTTGCGCCATCGGACCTCAAGCCATCCACGGAAATCTGATGACGCAGATACAAGATCCAGGTGCGGCCAAACTCGCATTTTTCCCTGTTAATCTTGAACTGGTGTTGTTGAAGGAGGCTGACTTTGTCTACATGGGTTGCGTGCTCCTCGACAGTCCTACTAAAGATAACTATGTCGTCGAGGTACACGATGACGAACTTATCTTAGTAGTCATGAAATATCCTGTTCATTGCGTGCTGAAAGGTGTCAGGAGCATTGCAAAGGCCAAAAGGCATCACCACAAACTCGTACAGACCGTACCTGGTTTGAAAGGCGGTTTTGTGTTGATCCTCGGGCCCAATTGCAATCTGATGGTACCCAGACTTCAGGTCTATCTTGCTGAAGTACTGGCACCCTTGCACTCGGTCCAACAAGTCATCGATGCGCGGTAGGGGCTCTGTGTTCTTCACAGTGATGGCATTGAGGCCTCTATAGTCAATACACATCCTCAGCGTCCCCCCCTTCTTAGGCACAAACAAGACAAAAGATCTGTAAGGGGAGACACTCGGTCAGATCCAACCCTTCTCTATGAGATCCTTGAGTTGTCAGCGAAACTCATCAAGCTCCGCTGGAGACATCCGATAGATCCTACCTTTTGGGATACTAGACTGGGATAATCTCTATCACGTGGACGACTTCCCTCTCAACAACCCCTTTCGGCTCTTCAAATAGATCAAGGTAGTTAGCGACCATTCCCTCTATCTCTGGAGGCATTTTCACCGGCTCACCCTCCACAAAGACATACACCAAGTACATACCCTCCTCCAGATTTTGCTTATAATAATTATAAAACGCGGCCCCACACATGCACCCGTAGGACTTAATCAGACTACTAGCTTTATACTTGCGCAATCTGACGGTTCCCCCTTCGGGCAGCGTGTGTTTAACCATTTTTCGGTCCCAGTCAAACTGGAGCTGAGCAACCTAAAGGTAGTACATACCTAGCAGAATATCCATAGGGAGATCATCGCTGACTAGGAACGAGATTTTGTGTCTCAGTTCCCCTCTCCCATACGGGAGTAGACACTCAACGTCTTTTAGGTAGTCATTGACTACCATGCGCTGTTTGTTGGCACAAGTCGACTTTACCAGTCGACTGAGACGGTGCACTTGCCCCTGTAAGCGCAGCCGATCAACACGAGCGCGACTGATAAAGTTCCTCGTCGAACATGTATTGTAGAATGCCCCAGCCTTACGGCCACCTATCTTTATCTCGCCGACAAATAACTTACCCTTAGGAGCTTTAGCCATGGCCGTCCAAAAAGCTAATGCGGGCCTGATCTAGACCACTCCTCCTCTAGCTACTCTAAGGATTCGAACACATTCATCGAACAGAGTATCGATTGGTCAGAATGTGGTCTCGGGACGACGTCAAAGTCAATAGCTTGGGCCATCTCTCGAGACGGCGAGGGTGTATCCACCATCTCAATCCTAGTAGGAACAACTACAATTCCTACTGGCCCGACGCGTTTCCCGAAGCAATGCCAGAACTGCTGGCAAAGTTGCTACCCTGGGAAGCGGAGGAGGTTTGTGTCTGTCCCATCGTAGGCGGGAACTTTTTCGTGACCTTCCGGTTGTGGCACTTGAACTGTGTATGGCCATACTCTGTGCAACCGCTTGAACGCGCCGAATGCGCGTTCAAACGACCCGGGGCCGCGTTCATTGGCGTTCAAACGCGCAGCGCGCGGCATGGCGCGTTTTTTGTGAACGTGCCCCCGGGTCGTTCACGCGCGCGCGCCAGGGGCCACGGGGTGGTGGGGTGCGTTCTCACATACGAAAAAAAAAAATTAAACAGGCCGCCACCAGCCACACCCCGGCGCCCCGGCGCCCCAGCGCCCCACCGCCTCAGCGCCCACAAACTGGCGCCCAGGCGGACCTGCGCCCACACCATGGCGCCCCAGTGCCCCACCGCCCCGGAGCCCCAGTCCCCACACCCCGGTTCGTTCGTGTGCGCGCCAGGTGCCACGGGGTGGTGGTGTGCGTTTTCGGAGATGACAAAAAAAAAAAAAAAAAAA